TAAATAATGAATTAGAAAGTTGAATATTGGGTCGTAGTTTATTGTGGTGTTAAAAAAATAAATAACAACCGAAAACAAAACTTGTGATCATGTCTTGTAGTATGACTAACCTGATGAAATCCAAATTTTTATATGCATGTCCAATTTGAAAGGAAGCCAATCACGAAGACATCAATATGACACAATTAAATTGACTTATTTTAGATGCGATATGTTAGTCATGTCATGTCATGTTAAATTTGATTTGGACCAAATCCAGAGAATGCAAAAAGCTGACCTCAAAATGAAAACAATCACTTTTTATATAGAAACGATGTAAGGATTTTAAAGAAAATATTTATTGTCGTGTGATAAATAGAATTTTTCATAAGTGCTTACGTCAATAAATATTAAATTCATTTCATGAATTTCATTGTAAGATCCTCTATTTTATAAACATGCCATCCCAAGATGGAGAGTAGGTACGTTGCATTATAGATTTGGCATGATTCTAATGAATTAATCGTATACATGAATCATTATACCGTATACTGAAAAAAGGTTGCCCGCGGTCGGAGATCGTTCTTTCTGAAAAAAAAACCCCAAAGAACTTTTGACAACTTTTACACCTTTTTACTATATCTTTAACAGTATTAAAATATTTATATTATTCTTATAAATCTGACAATAGTTGAATAAGCCTTCTGTTAGGTAAGAATATTTATTTAAAATCAATATTTGTATAACACGCTTGAAAAAACTGTCAATACGACTTCAATTTTCAATACTGTCTCAAGAGTCTTTAATTAACAATGGATATTCTATCAATATTCTATTCAATAATTTAAAACTAAAAGCGAATAGTTCAAAACCAAAATAGTACCATTGGATTGTTAGAATGTTTTATTGATAAAGAAATATAAAGATAACTGAAATGTGACAAGAACTGACCAACCTACACTTCAAATGATTCATATTAATGCTAATTGCTTTTTACCACCTTTGAAAGGTTAATGAAAGCCATTGGAGAGGAAATCAATAGAATTTTATTGAATTGTCTTTCTGTGAGACGAATTTTAAAGGTAACTGAAAACAATGGGGTAATTAAAAGTGTTTAATGACCCTTTGATTCCAATTTGTTGGTTTTAGACAGGGAATAAAATACACTTTCAATTTGATAATTTGTATCGCAAAACATACAAATACATGAAAACATAAATCTATATGTGAAGAATCCGGATCTACGTATAAAGAAAACGTCTGTGTCAAAGAACCATGCTGAGATGTTGACAATCTCATTAGATAAGTTTCAATAGTCTTGTTTGAAAAATATCACCGTGATCAATTCTAGAACGAAGATTACAGCCAGATTTTATCTGGAGAGTTGTATATCATCATAATTTCATGTTATTTATTACAACTTTCAGTGCTTCATTGGCGTATTGTGTCTCGTCTTTCTAGTATAGGATTAAAACTACCTTTATGAGACTTCTCAATGTTGTTACGTATGATGTATGACGTAGCATCATCATACGAAATATTGTGTAAACCTTAAAAGCAGATTGTCACACGATATCTATGAGCAACCATATTTTTATTCAGCCAGTGATTTTGTATTATTGGAACAAAGGCTCTTAAATTATAAAAATACTATATGGTTTTCAATACAAAACAAAGAATGCATCGACATTGAATTTGACTGAATCATAAAGTAGTATCTAAATCCTAATGCTCAACTTTATCTTGTAATTCTTGGCTGGATATAATAGAAATTTAATTTGCAAAGCTGTATGGAAAACATTACAGAAAAAGGCGGTGGGTGTAAAATTCCGAATTCCCGAACCGTCCGAACTGTCCGAATTGGGTCAGAAAAGACAAAAAAATCGAAACTAAATTTGCGCCAAAGGGCGTGCACAAATTCGGGAATCAAAACATTTTACATAAAAAAAAAACGAATATTTTTAAAAGCTTCCATTTGATCAAATCACAATTTCTTTCTTTATTTTTCGTGTACACCGTGCAAGTTTATAATAATGCCGTCTATGAATTGATATTTTTGATTTTTAATAAATATAATCGCTATTATCCAATGGACACTTTTTGTTGTCTGTGATCGAAGGCATCTTCCCATTCCCAAGTCACAAAGTTTGATGCCAATGTGAATGATGGGAACAGGCTAACGTGCAGGGAGTAAGATGCCCCTCCCCCCCCCCCCCCCCTCTATCACAGTGTTTCAACCCTTGACTGCAATTGACACCTTATTCTTGTATTATAGAAGATTGCAGTCAAGGTATGAAATAAATAAACCATGCTTTCAGATTAACCTTTTTTATACGTCCGTTCACATTTCTTGTAGGCGCGATAGAGGCTACAGTCTTTATCCGATCTTGATGAAACTTGGTATGCATGTATATATTGATGAGATTTCGGTCAAGTTCAAAATTGGTAATAATCGGAAGAACGGTTACAGAGTTATTGTCCTTGACTTAGTAAAAACGCGTCAAATTTGGCTTGTAGGCATGATAGAGATTACAGTTTTTACCTGATCTTGATGAAACTTGGTATGCATGTATGAGATCTCAGACAAGTTCGAAATTGGTAATAATCGGATGAACGATTTCAGAGTAATTGCCCTTGACATAGTAAAAACTTGCCTTGTAGACACGATAGAGACTACAGTTTTTATCCGATCTTGATGAAACTTCTATATATTGATGAGCTCTCGGTCAAGTTCGGAATTGGTAATAATCGGATGATCGGTTTCAGAGTTATTGCCCTTGACTTAGTAAAAACGCGTCCAATTTTGATTGTAGGCACGATAGAGATTACAGTTTTTATCCAACCTAGATGAAACTAAGTATGCATGTATATATTGACGAGATTTCACTCGAGTTCGTAATTGGAGCCGCGGTGGCTAAGTGAGTCAGACGCTTGCTCGCTAACCTGAAGGTCCAGGATTCAATCCCGGCATAGGTCTAGATAATACCTTCGGATTTTTCCCCCTGTCAGTGATGCAGGTGAGACTTGGAAAAAGCGTCTAGTCGTTCGGATGGGACAATAAACCGAGGATCCGTGTGCTACAGGTTGTGCACGTTAAAGATCCTTCGACAGTTGGAAATCGAAAAAGAGAAGCTAATGCCGCTGTCCTGGCAAAATTTCCCTCATTGCATCCTGCATGCCCGTCTTCATTAGCCCACATGGTGCAGAAAAGTAGGACGTAAAAACTCCATTTCATTTCATTTCGAGTTCGTAATTGGTAACAATGGGATGAAGGGTATCAAAAATATCAATTCATAGACGGCATCATTATAAATTAGCACAGTGAACACGAAATATAAAGAAAAACATTGTGATATGACCAAATGAAAACTTTTAAAAATATTCGTTTTTTGATGTAAAATGTTTTGATTTCCGAATTTGTGCACGACCTTTGGCGCAATTTTAGTTTCGATTTTTTTGTCTTTTCTGACCCAATTCGGGCAATTCGGACAGTTCGGGAATTCGGAATTTTACACCCACGGAGAAAAAAGGGAATGTTGAAAATATTTTCTCTTTTATTCCATGTACAGAACAGTAAAATGCATGCACATTGACAATTTTCTGTAGCAAGAATGGTAAAGCATTATAACTGATACCGTCTTTAGGTTAAAATTTTCGACATCCTGTGTGATTCAAGTTATTTAACTAAAAAGCAATCACAAAACCCAAAAGTTTTACTATCTTTAAACTTGTATTTGTGAAGACGGTCTGGTTGTTGTTCTATTCATAAGTTTTAGTTATACACCCTTGAATGATTCTGAACTGTCACCTGTATCAACAGTCGGCTTGATACGAGATATGTTTCAAATTGAAACCGATATTAAGGATATAAAGTCGTAAATATCTATGCAAATATTCAAGAGGATGATTTTGAACCAAACCGAATTAAACTTTTGACGGCCAGTTTATTAAGGGCCGTTAGTTCTAATACCACTAATATTTCACTACACGTTATTTAATTTTTTTAGGAAAATCCTTAGTAGATCTAAGACGGGTTATTTGGTATCAAACAGTGCGATTACTAACGAGCAGATGTTGAAAGAGGTTTGCTGCCTCTGTGTCAATTGACTCGAAACAGATGATAATCTGTTAAAACTATTAATCTATTGTTGAGTATCGACAAGACATGAAATGGAAATAACTGCATGATAGCCATAGGCTATTATTGTTTTATTAATATTGGACAATATAATGTTAATATGTCTCGTGTTTCATTGATGTTTACGAACATTTCCTGATTAGTCTGTTGTTCTCCAAATAGGTTGTGCGGAACCTGCTTTTTATATTAATTGATCAATGTGACATTGATGAAAAACACATCTATAACCGTTTAGTGTTAATTTCTGAATGACTATTTGTATGTACTACGAACTCTGAAGTCGAATTGAGTCAAAGCTAATCTTTTAATTATCCCATGTGTGCAGATTTTTTGCGATAATGAGGATTAGGCCATTGATTCTCATATATACAGAGACACTGCATGACAGAGATTTGTGGTCATTGACATAAGATAAGGGTATGTTAAAGGGTCAAAAGATCTGATGTGACTGTGTGAGAAGCATGTGGATGTTCAGCCTTGAATGTGAAAAATATACATGTATTGACAGTTATATGTTTGATTAACAAATCAGGATATGACCACCGTGAGCAACAGGAAACGATTTTTGTATCATTAATACATTGAAGTATAAATAGAAAGACAGTGTTTAATGTATCATAAAGCCAGTTAATTCATTTTGACTTTAAAAGACATCGTATTTCCGAAGGAGATCAGTTTCAAGTTTCATCGTCTCGAATCTGATGACAAAATATGACATTCACGCGATGATTTGAAGTACAAGCTGCGAGGAAATCTCAAGTGATCTTTCCTAATTCTAATAATATCTTCTGTTTAAATAGCTTTGTGTAGTTCTTGCGTGTGACATTTTGAGCGATTTCTGGCGAAATTTGTTGTTGGATTGTATATTAGATAAATTTCAACCATGACATACAATTGTGACGGATTAAATAATACAAATACGACCAACTTAACAAATACTGTCGTTGAAAGTAATGAATTGTCTTTAGACAATATCTTCTTCATTATTATAAATATTATTTTAATGGTTTTTATTTGTCCCGGAAATATCTTGACCATTGTAGCGGTATGGAGAACTCCTATATTAAGAACTGTACCCAATATGTATGTTGTGTCTCTTGCTGTAGCAGATCTACTTGCCGGAATGGTTCTTCCAATGCAGATTTTGAATTTCATTCCTGCTTTGAAGACAACTCTCTCTGTATCTAAATATTTCTGTTTATTTCGACACGTAACTTTCTTCGTATCAGTGACTGCTTCTGTGATCAGCATGGTAAACATAGCTTTTGATAGAGCTTTTTATATTGGATATCCATTTAAATATGAGATGTATTCTACTGCAGTGAAAACTGGTTGTTTTATAACCTTCACTTGGACGTTTTCTGCGTTACTGGGAAGCATACCACTTTATTCTAATAACTGGACACCCTGCAGTAATTGTAATATATTTACAGTTTTAACTAAACAATACCAAGTAGATATATTAGGTACAAGTTTTATTGTGTGTTGTATTCTCACTATATTATGCTATGGTTATATTCTTCGTATCGCTAAACAACAACAATCGAAAATAACAGAATTTGAAATGGAGCCGTCGAAACACCGTGCAAAAGAAAAGGACCTCAGACTCGTCAAACAATTTTGTTTAGTTTTTGGAATATTTTTTGTGTGTTGGATACCAGCATTTTTGTCGGTAATCATAGGCCATCATGGCGGCTATGTTCCACCCATTGTAACAAACATTGTAGTTCCCATTGCTATTCTGAATTCTGGTATGAATTTCATAGTATATGCAGTTAAGAACAAAGAATTTCGTCACGCATTTGCTAAAATGCTTTGTTCAAAAAAAGACAATTTAATTGGACCAACTGTTTTCCGTGTAGAGGTGGAATCCAGTCCATTCTGAATGTGTTGTGCACTTGGCAAATATTTTTGAATCACAGAATTTAGGAATTCTGTTTTCTATAAGATAGGCAGGCCTACTTTAAAAACAAGATTGTATGGATTATGATATAGGCCTATTTACTTTCATGTTTTATGATTTAGGAAATCGTAGCACAGCCAATTATTTTACAAAACTTCTCCATAACCTCTGTAAACAGACACATTTATCACATTTAGCTTTACAAATAAATATAGTTTAAAAAGAAAACAGACTTATGTAGTTGAAATGCTTCTTGAAGTTGTAAACAGAATCATAAATGTCGTTATACAGAAATGTTTTTGATACGGAAGCGTCCTGGGGCGATGATAAATAAAGAAATATTTTGTTATATTATCATTTAATTTATGTTGATAAAGCGAAAATAAGACTTTAATTTCAAGATATCTTTTTACCCTTTTTCGTGTTAATTATCAATTATTATTAATTAATCAGAAATTGATACTTTTTCCGACTATCTAGTTATTAAAGGGAATCGTTATTATCAACTTTAATCCTAATTTTGCGTCCTGTGTCTGTGCTATCGTAACATTGTTTTCAATGCAATGTCACATTATGATGTGGTAGAGACATTCCTGCAAAAATGCATAACATGGCATCTTTAAAATCAAAACGTTTCAAATGTTTCTCCCGTATCTTCTCTGGCTGACCTTGTACTTTCGATATTAAAAGTGTTTCTTAACTTGTCACTATGTGTACTCCGAGGTAAAATTTGAGGAGAAGTAAAAAAAAATACACAAAGAGGTAATTTGTAGTAAATAAAGGGGAAATTTAGTCAAACTAAACTTGCTGATCTTCAGAATTACTCATCACCTGCAATTATCCACAGATAATGAATGTCTGAGTCCAAATTTGAGTACACAAACACAAATCTTGCTATTGCCGTTATCTCATGGAGTGCATTTAGCACAATATTGGCGATCTTGAAAAAAAGGAGTCAGTATGGATATTTCTGAACGCAGCGCTCTACGCCTTAAATAAACAAAGCTAGTTCCGTCAAGATTGACTTTCTACAATGTCCTTTTTACAAACGGTACCAAAATATAGTCGAGAGGTAGGCTTAACTGAGTATGTACAAAGAATGGGAAATCCTACCCCTCGAGTGTTTTGTGGTACCGCGTAGGGTACAAGGGCTGCGAACTTTGGATCTTAACATGGTAACAATTCTCAAAAACTAGCAACCCAAAAGTGGGTCGTTATCTCATCTGTATATCACGTCCGAGGAACGGGTAGGGCCAGATGTTGAGACTATTTATGACGGATGGTGACATTAGATGTCTGTGAATGGCAGTATATTTTGCTGAATGACAGTATATCACGCAAACTCAATAACAAACGAACGAGCTAATGGTATCCAAATCGAAGCTGTCATTACATGTGTACTAAGCGTTACTCAAGATCAATCTCAAACTCAAAACGTGATTACAATGCTGTCGGTAGCCGTCCACAGACGTAAAGGATTTGCTAAGGATTTAGATAGAATTTGCTCTGGTCTTTTTTTTTCATTAAGTTTGAATTTGAGTTTTAGTTTGCGTACACAAGTAACTCATGTCACAACTCTTAAATAATTTCAATGAAATCCCAATTTCACTTGTTGATGACGTTTTGGAAACGGAAAGAATAGAAATCTCAGCATTGAGTTATATTTCTAAACGGTGTAAAAAAAAAAACCTCTTATTTACGGGTTCAAATGTCACAAGGCCAATTAAAAAGTGATTTTGTGAGTCTGAAACCAGCTGTCTGTATATATTGGCTCATTAATTAATTGTTGTCGTGGCCATGGAGACGTGGCCAATTTGACAGCAGCCAAATGACAACTGACCGATATTTTTCGGAATTCATTTTACAGCTGCGATCAAGCTCAAAGTCAAACTCAGAACGTGATTACGTGTGTCAATAAGAGATAATTCCGCAAAACCATCGGCGTATAAAGGAGGAGAGGAAAGTCCCATACAGTAATGCCTTAAATAAAGTCATCTTACAGGCTGTGTGTAGCCGTCTGCAGACGCAACCAGTCGCTCACTCAGCCATCCTTTGCGCTTACGGAGGTCTTGAGTTTGAATTTAAGAACACAGGGATGTAGGCTAAACAGAAAATTGGATTTAGAAAGGATTTTCTCTGGTCGGTTTGTGTTTAAATTTGAATATGATTTAAGAGGTGACTTTCGCGACCCAGATGACACTGCTTACTTGATTAGATTTTAAGATTATTTAACTTTTTGCTTTGAATGATTTTCAGTATTTTAGAATTAACAACAATGCTATTGCACACTATCGCTTCAAAAAAATTATATTATTATCAATTAATTATTATTATTATTGTGTAAAGTATCTAAAATTGATATATGATACTCAAATATAGATCAAAATACATAATTAGTAGTCTAATAAATGTTTTCGATTTTCCAAAGTTAATATTTTAGATTCATACCTCATTAAGGAGGTAATTATCCCACCTATTGTTATGATGCATACTCAAGTAGAATATTAAAGATTCAAATTATCGTTCAATAATGGGCAATTAACTTGAAATACGAGATAAATCTGAATTGATTAGCACGTTTACTTTCACAAATAAATTATGTCGGCAATTAGCAGCCTGATCATTTTAATACGCCCATATTGAAATGTAGATGTATTGCGGTCGCCCTAGTTCCAGTTTTTATCTGATCTAGTTGAAACTTGGTGTGCATGAACAGATATCAAGCTCAATTGATGATATGTTGATGAAGTTAGTCTTATACCTTGACTGCAATAGCAGCTATTATTTTATCACAATCGGAGCCCTCGATAGATAGACTGTAAGCATTACGGCTCTTTCGAGGACTGTTGACTTTCAATAAGCATCCAATGGTATTGTAAAATACCAAGGGATGTTGATGGTATCTTAGTTAGAAATTGCCAATATGACAACATTTTTTCTCCTTATTTTTTTAGTAATTTGCCTTGACTTTAAGACTTCATAACAATGTGGTTTTGATAATTTGATGTATTTGGGATATTACTATTACTATAAACCCAGTTTATATAACCTTTTACACTGTATATAGATTAACGAGATATTGATACATTCAAAGGTTTTGAAATACCTCATCAAATTCCCTTGAAACTAGTTTAATTATTGGATGTTTTTTAAACAAAATAAATAATAATGTTGTACGTTTAAATGAACAATCGTCAGCCCCGAAGGCTAGTTTTTCGGGCAAGGCATTAAAAAATAATTTTTTTTGAACGGCCCGATTTCATTTTTTTTTTTTTTTGGAATTTAAAAATGAAATCATATCTTTGTCCGAATATCCTATACTATAACTGTATTTTTTTTAAATTGATAGCCCGATTGTATTCTCCTATAATAATGTTTCATAATTTATATTATTTAAGGATCGAAATCACTGCCCGAATTCCATTTGTATGATTATATTTTACATATTTCAAACTGAATACTTGTGGATCTCTTAAGGGGGGTAGTATCATGTGTTCTAGAAAGAGTGAAAATACTCTGCCAATAACAATAGTGTTTCTCTCGAAGAGTTTGCAAAACTCTCATAACTAAGTTAGAAATTCGGGAAACCTCAGGTTCTCTCCAGAAAAGACAAATACTATGTCAATCAATTGTAACAATATTGAAAAATAATCATAGAATATAAAGTATACTTGTCATAATATAATAATATTCTCTGTCAATATAATTAATTATTGTCTGTCAATGTGTAGATATTAGTAATTACCTCCCTTCATTAATTAATGAGTATCTTACCTTACAGGTACCAATATGCCTCACTCTTGATAGGCAAAGGTATACAGTCGTTCAAATATTTTCTTTACAACCCCAATCGAAGCTGTCTGCATCATATTTCCCCCCAAAAAAAAGAAAATTCGAGTCCACTTCCCCATGTTCATCAAAAACTCTCGCAGCTATGATCAATATCAATGTCATCAGTAAAAAATTAAAAATCAGAGTAAGTTGTCGTTTCTCTTACTGATACAGTTAGAAAATATATTACCCTTAATGCCACCAATATGAATATTACATTTAATAAATGATAGTAGACATATCTTGATAACTATTATTATAAAGTGAGTGGATCTGCAAATTGATTCAGGACTTTTACATGGCGGTTATCCAAGTCCGTGTCTGACACATAGTTTGGTATGTTTTTCTTGCAGATTGCTAACAATGAATACAGATCTATATTTATTTTTAAAATTGTATTATCCATTATGCAAGCACTTTGTATAAATGCATTAAACGGATATAATTTGAGATAATATGTCGTCTTAGTCGACTTTTAAAGTGAATGAATCTGCAACATTTTAGTCGTCTGTTCGAAAGCTATTGAAAGTCATTTAATCATGCGATTGAGATTTTTTTTATTGAATGACCGTAGTTTAGAGTAAAATGATATATTTCGAGGAAACACCTGTTGGTAGCAGATGATAAAATACAAACTAGTAAATTGGCTTAAACATATAATCCATATAAATAATCAATATAGATATTAGCTTTTTTTTTACACTTACAAATATATATATATATATATATATATAAATATGTTTAGCATAATCTGTGTCAGCTATAAACTTATTCTCAGCAGCAAATATTACAATTTTAGTGTCTAGGAGTGCAATGGTTTATGTTTCAAGTAGCTACAACTGTGACCGTGTTTGATTTCAAAATGACGACCATCAAAGATATATAATTGTCGATATTTCTGAATCTATGTCGACTAAAAACCCGTTCTTAGTGGCTAATTGTACATTTTGGGGGCTACCACGTTAAAATTTCACAATGGCAACCATCAGAAATCTATAAGTGTTAATATTTCTGAGTCTAGGTCAGCTACAAACCCGTTCTTGTATAATTTGGAGGAAGGAATCCAAGGATTCAAGTTATAAGAGGTCACTGCTGTCATGTTGAATTTCAAAGTAGAATATAGTGCTTAACTTTTTATTTTGTTATTGTTGTTATCAAAGCCACAAAGGAGAATTATGCCCCAAATACATGTCTTTTAAGTCACTTTTGCGTCAGGTGGATTTTTGATGAGGACAGGAAACCATTTTGAAGATTAGAGACTTGCTGGCACACTTATCGAGTGAAACAGCAGCCGACACTGTGAAAAATTTCCTCAAAACGGGCAAAGAAATTTCCACTTCTTTGCAATGGAGCGTTTGTTCGACAGATCAAAGCCACTCAGTGATGTTATCAAGCGCAAAAAGTTACAAATACTGTCTCACAATCTGTTCCAGCATGGAAAAATGTACGTGCCTTTGACTTACCAGGTCCTATATCTGTAACTACCCCCTCATATGTGGTAATGTATGGCAAACTCTGCCTATCCCTCTGACGCAGTTGTTGTTGTTCCTCTTGGGCTAGTGCAATGACCAGAATAACAAGCCCCTGGCATATGCTGTATCTACCACCATTCGGATGTCGGTATCCTAATGTTTGTATGGAGGCTCGGTGGAAATGTCTTGGGTGGAAATGTCTTGAATAGGTGGGGCTAGGGATTCCTTCTCCCATTCATGTTGGTGTACGTATCCCACAGTTGTGATGTAATATATGAAACAAACAGCCCTGTCATCATATTTGACCCAATAATCGACGCGCGCAAATACAAATTTCCTTGCGCACTACGGATTCCCTTTTAAAAACGTAAAAAACAAGAAAGAACTATTATTTTTCGACGAGAACTTTTTGATTATTATCCACAATATGTACCCTGTACATTCTGAAAAGTTCTTCTAATACAATTTTGTTGGAGCGGCTTTCGATTTATAACTAAAACTTTCACTTTGAGAATAGGGGCTACTTCTACAGAATTTTTGTTATAGCTGACATTCAGAAATGAAAATTATCAAAGGTCTACATATCAACTGACTGATGGGCGTGTCTTTTCAGGCTTTTATGCGGCGGCTATATTTCTTCAAGTATGTCAGCGGCTAGTAGTAAATATGGCGGACCAAGGGCGTACGAGAGGGCTTCTTTAAAAAAATATATATTTTCGTGTAATTAAAGTGTGATAGCTTTAATCAAAATCCATACAAAACTATAACATGACAGTTGAACTAAAGTCATTTGATAAATATACTTAAACATCATTTTTCAGTTATATCAGGGGCAACTGTTCATCGAAAAATCGTATTCATCCTTGACCTCGCTATAAGTAGCCAGCCCTGTCGCTAGGAATGAATTGGTGCTGGAGCTCAGATTTTGTACTCAGAACATTTGAAGAATTAAAGGCCCAGAGAATTCATTTCTGACAATTCTGTGGTGCAAAAACGTATCAAAATCTAAATCTTTTTGATTTTGTACAAAGACATTGTAAATGAATCAATCTCTGCTGAACTGAAGAAGGTTTTCCTTTGGCTTAATTCTCACTTACGACGGGGCTGTCTGCATTGGAAAGGCGGTAAACTTTAAAAGGATTGATTTGAGTGTTGAATATATGTAAATTGTCTTCAGAAGTACCAAAAATGTACGAAAATTGCATAATTCCTTTTTCAAACTAGGAATTTCTTTTCTTATTTCTACAGATGCCTTTCTATATATAGCAGTGTCTCAAGAAAAGACAACACGTCTTTTTAACTTTCATTCGCGGATAATTCTTGACAAACGTGGATTTGAAGGCTCCAATTCCGACGGTGATCTGTGAACACTATTACTGATTGGATTAGCTAAAAAAAAATCCCGTTTCTGAGACTAAGGTACGATTGGTAAAAAAGTGGCGTATCCTACATATTTCTTTAACATGAAATATAAACTCTTATCAAAATATGCATTCTAAAACTGCTTATTACCTATTGTTTCAAATGCGAACTGCAAATAAAATCTATAGCCTACCGTGTTCCGAATATTTCTTCCACTCGTATCTTATGTAAAATTTATTTACAACCAGTTGTTTCAATAAAGGGGACGTAACAAAGAAAATCATACATCTAGATTTACATTTTGTTGTTTGTAGTAGTTGAATTTTTGTAAAAGCAAATTTAACTGTCTAGACCGAATTTAAAATGCGGTTACTCCGTGGAGGTGTCATCGAGCATCTGAGAGGGATCTCCCAAGAAAAATTTCGAAAAAATTGAATTGATTTCGTGCATTTGATGCATTCTGACATATATTTAGGGTCAAAACTGTATAAAAATCATCTTTTTAAAATTCTTTAAAAGTAAAGTGGGGGTACCCACACTGGCGCAACCCCCACTTTTGTATTTCCATCTTTCTAGAAATCATTAACATTCGGAGCACAGTGTCTTCAATCCTACCGCTTCCGCCACCCCGCCAGGTTATTTGAGACTTGATATTCGGGAATTGAAAATCACGTTTTCTGATGCAGACTGCAATAAAAAGTTGAAAGGTTTCGATTACGTATAACGAAACGTAAATAAAAGTCGAAAATGCAGTCGCCGACATTATCTCTACACACAAGTAAACTTTTTAAAAAGATAACATTGTGCGCTTACTTTTATTCACGTTCAAACGTTTGATCGAAAATGCAGTCGCCGACATTATCTCTACACACAAGTAAAAAAGATAACATTGTGCGCTTACTTTTATTCACGTCTACCTCAGCAGCTAGCTTATCTACCACGACATTTTTTGTTTCGTGTGATTCCAATGTGAGAGTTCTTGTTGATCTCTCGTGGAGAACGTTTAATATCAGAAGATTAAATTTTCTCCTCACTTGTTAAAAAATGACTTGTTGGGATGCGACATACTGGTAACGTAGGCCTGAAATCAAGTTAAGGAACGATAACTCTTACCACAATGTCAGAATAGTCTGAAACATACTACTAGAGCTTCTTCTGACAATTAGAAGAAAATCTCGATGCTCCACTTTTATCGCAATACTTAAAATTCGAGGTCATATTTGTCGCAAAATTATTGATTCTAATCGCCAAAACGCATCAGGTCGCCCAAATTTATATTTATGGCCCGCCCAAACTTATGTATTTGGCTCGACCAAACTTGTCGATATGTTTATCATGTTATAAAAGTATTGTTATTTTAGTGTCTTGATGTTTGCGTTTTTTGTCATGTGAGTATGTGTAAGTATGCATGTGCATGAGAATCCGTGCAAAGCGTAATAGATTATTATATATTGTATGTGACAATATTGGTGATTGGACAATTGTTTACGATTGTTACGGACGGTAGTCCTATGCTAGGTATCTTAGGATGGAAATTGGTTGATTGATTGAGTGATGGGTATCTTCGTTGAAAAATGATTCTAGGTGATGGGCATATTTGAATTGGAATTGGTTATGGATTTATGATTAGAATGAGAATGAATGAGTACTCGCGTAAGTAAACTAGAATTATTTATGTACTTGACACTTCTGTATGTTTCATGTGAAGGTAAATTATGTATTAATATTGTATGTTTCATTGATGTTGTAAATCATTACGCAATCTTGAGTGAAGTTGTTTAATGTTTGTAATGTGAATTTAAATGTATTAATCTGTATTGTAGATGACATAATCTCTACTCACAAGTAAAATTTAAAAAAAAAAAAAAATGGCGCGCTTACTTTAATTCACGTTTAAACTCGCCATAGTGATATTGCTAAACATTTGCAAGCCGAAAATGAACAAAGATTTGTTTCGTTTTGACATACGTAATAAAAACATTCCAACTTTTTATTGCAGCCTGCATCAGAAAAACGTGCTTTTCAATTCGCGAATATCGAGTCCGAAATGACTTGGCGGGATGGCGAAGGCGGTTCGCCTTCGGCGGAGGATTGAGACACCGTTCAGCGGATGTAGCCTCGATTTATCGTACCATCCAAACGATTAGCCACCTTTGCAATGTCAGCTATCAGACCTACATCACTGACAGGGGAAAATAACTTTTTTTAAAGATGAGACAAGAGTTTCTTAATCAACGCATTTGAGGCTTTTGACCACAAAAGTTATCATACCTTTCTTACACGATGAAAGGAATATTTCGTTCTTTGTTCAATAAACATTAATTTCATAAAGTACAAAAAATTTACACTCACAATTGCACAAGTCAGTCTCGCACATGTAACCAGAGACGTTCATTGAAGATGGTGTAATGTTATCTTAGTGATGGAATTCAACTAAAGGTTCATTCTAAACTAATTTCTTGATTCCTAGTGGGGAGTTTTCATCTGATGAGCCTACTAAATCAATACAAATTCTTAATTTCTGATGAGTATTTCGTTTGAAGTGGGACAGTCGTTTGTCAGGAGTCTTAGCCAATATTGCTGCGTTGTCATATCTTGATTTTGGTACCGTAGAACCGTCATTTGTAGTTCTGGCATATTTTGGTCCATATTGAAAGATGACATTGACTACGTTAGACGAAGTAATTGGATTAACCATTTCTCGTGCCACTGGTAGTTTGTCTTTACTTATATTATGTTTTGTTGTGTAGTGTACAGATTCCATTTTTCTATCATCTGATTTGGTTGATTTCCGTTTGTTGTTATAAAGATGTTGTTCTCTTGAAGAACAGAGTGACATTATAGAAAGATTATCTTCGAGTCGGTTCACATTTTCTAAGGGTATGGAAGCTTGGTTACGTTTTGGCTTTAGACTACAGTTGTTTCGATGATACCCATCCTGCAGCCTCACTTGATTGTTAATAGAATCGTGAACACTGATAACAGAAATGCGACCATCTTCATATCTTTGTCGAATGACTCTTCCCGAATTACAAGGAACCGAAGAATCACATTGTTCCGGTTCCGAGACATTGTTGATGTGTTTGACATTTGATATATTTATTTCGTTCTTGCACCCTGGACAAGACTGAAATTGTGCTGATAGACAGTCAGAATTACTGACACCGGAATCCTGAGATCTGTAAGTAACATTTGGTGATGATGGTGGAATGTGATAATCATTTTCAGACGGAATGCTAGAGAAATAATTCTGGAGAGATGGCTTACTAAATGATGACTTGTTGGTCACAATTTCCTGAAATACTTTCGGAGAAGACTTTTTGAGATTTGAATTAAACTGGTTTTTAGCAATTGGCATTGTGTGTCTGACATGCATCCCTTTTTTCATTTTAGTTGACACATTCTTATTATGTAGAAAATGACCAGTTCCAAAAGATTTACTTGGCTTTACGTCATACTGAACTCTAACTGACCTTCGTGAAACCTCTTTAGTCAATTTTGCCAAGTCAAGACTAGGTACCGATTCATCTTTACCATCTAGCCTGGTTGGTAACTGGTTTGTTTCTGGTTTATGTATTTGATCATTGGATTGTGGTCGAAGTGGAATTGATGAATTTATTTTTATATGCTCTACTCTTTTCTCTTGGAATACTTTGGCGACAGAATGTAATGCAGCTCCATATTCGTCTTTTATATTCATCTTGGCTGACTTTTCTGGTGCTATAATGTCATTTGTTGAGTTGGTGACCAATACATTGCCAAGGGAGTGAAACCGAGAAATATTTAATAAATCAGGTGTAAGAAGTGATCGCGAATTATTCAGTACTTTGCTATTTCGAAGTGCATTTTGCAACGTCTGGGTTGTTGCTGATTCATTGTTTAATTTCAATGCCGATCCTTTGTATGGGGATTTGCTGACTGTCTGTCGTGTATATGTGGATTTAGGTGGTTCAGGGTCTTTGAATTTACAGGTGTTATTTACTATTTGTATATATTGTCTATTTGAATTTCTTTCAATAGGCTGATCACAGGTAGTATCGGAAGGTACGCAAACACAAATATCACTAGACTTTGAATTAGCGACGGTTACTTCATCCCCTGAGTCTCCTTGAAGAATCTTTGTATCCAAAAGCATTTCAAGAGCTGTTGATACAGGGCGAGAAGGTAATACCTCTTGATTCTGGATAACGTTCGATTTCATGACCTCACTAGCAAGGTCAATAACTGTTTTCTCTTCCTCGACGTATTTATCATGACCTGTTAGTATATTTTCTATCGTTGATTTCGGAGCCGTCGCCTGAATTGTCTCCAAGGCTTCAATCAATCCATCCACTTTCAAAGGCGGAGATTCTGACAATATTTTAATCTGAGACGGTGTTTCCAGTATAGGAATATTTGTTTCATCGGAAGAGTACACACTGCTACTGTTTGTTGGGGAAAGTGTGTTAGAAGATGTATCAACTGTCAAAGTATATCTTTTATCTCTCTCTAGTATACCACATGCTACTGAATTACTACCTGAGGTAGTATAGACACTAGATGATGACAAACTGATATTATCTTCTGGTACATTTGTAGAACTTTTACCAGCAGACGACGATGGCAATTGAAATATTTTATGTAAATCATCATAAGGATGCTTAGGATCCAACTGAAGATCTAGTTGTTGCCAGGACGGCACGGGTGCGAAAACACCTGATGTTTTATCGGGCGACTCATGATCTTTCTCGATCAGTGTCGAGACAACCTCTCTAGTTTCTAGGGTTTCTTCTGTCATTTTTGACTCGACATCAGAAGATGGAATGGTTAAAGAATTGATATCAGTTATTATACAAAAGTCTTCTTGTAAATGTTTTGATGAGCATAATTGTGGCTGGGTTGTTGCTTGGAGGTTGATACCCTTGGCAATTAGCACAGCGGTTGTGATAGACGAATCAATATTACTCTGAAAGTCACAGTTGTCTGTGACTGAATCATTTCGCTTACCATGCATCTTGCTCGGATAAGATTTATTTTTTCTCTTTTCATTAATCGAGGGTATTGCCGTGAGTATTGGGTTATATGGCACAACGCACGATGTATCAACGACTGTGTTGATTTGAGCACATTGTATCACATTTTCCTCTGACCTTGGCGATTCTTTTCGTTTACGAGGAGTTGATACTTTGATATCCTTTGTAGGACTCTTGACTCTTAAAACGCTTGGTGGTGAGGCAATAAAGCCTTTAGGCCAGATGTCTGGTTTGCGAATATTGTCAGTAACCTGACTTCTGGATCGAAAACCTCCGAATTTCGATTTCTCAATTTGAAGACGTTTTGAAAAGAATGCTCCGTTCTTAACAACGGCTGGTTGAGAAAGATAAGGCGACTTGGCAAGTCCTGATTTACTAATTTTCCTACCCGACTTGACTCGGAACGACTTCTTGGATGATATTTGGGACGCACTAACGGATAACGACGAATTTGCGTCTCCATTATGATCAGCAGTAGGTTGTGATATTGTTACTGGGCGCACTCGTAACATACCCTTTCTTCGTGTTCTAGCTGGTAAGTAAGGTTTATTATCACAAGGATCATAAACTTTGTATTTGACACATTCTATTCTGTTAATCATATTCTCTTCACCTCTTTCGTTATGCGATTGATTGTTCTGATCTCTAACAACATCGTTATTTGTTTTAGGTGTGACTGTTCCAGCATTGTAGTTAAAATCAGAAATCAGATTGGTAGTATCTGTTTTGCCATTATCAGTTGAATCACAAATGTTCTTGAGTAAAGTACATGGTCGGTTATCCTGTAACATAAATAATTGCTTATGAGATGAAAGAATTCTGTGACTATTAATCCACTCTGTCAAGGACGTAGCACGATCCACGTTAAAATGGGACTGAGGGGAGAAGAGGGAGGATCTTGGCACTTTATAGTTCATAATAGAAATAATAACACACTTCTACAGTTTGACCGTCTTTTCATTGAAGGGAAACATATTATTTAAAAAATGAGACATGTAACAGATGAATTTGTGATATCAGAATTGACACACCTACCCAAATTATTATGTTCTTAAATCCTTCCTCTGCCAGGTCTGGCCATCGACATTTAGACTGCAATATACGTCTGATTGACAGTGGTAGTAAATCGTATGTTAATTCACTAAATTTCTCTAAGTTTATCAATAAACTTCCAGTTGTTACTCCACGTACATTGCTGTCTTTAAATAAAAACGAAAATGATTACCAATCTTAAGTTTAAACATATATACCGATGTGTTCATCAATACTGATTTGATTTGAATTCATTAAACTGCAAACGTTACTTACGCCACATTGACGTTGTATCAAAGAGTTCTTATATTAATCACAAATAGATACTTGCAACATGAATATCGTGCTGATCGAAAACATTTACGTTTGGGTAATATGTGTTCGATTCAAGTAAGTTGGCTATGATATTTATATAGTAATTAATCAGTACTCATCTCAGAAAGGAAATCTTTGCCGAAGAGACTATTAATTACCTCCAAGAAGTTGAAGCAAATCGCTATTACTTTTATTGATTACGGGATTTTCTAATCTCACTATATTTATGATTATAAAAGCCTTCACATCATCTTTATTGCATTTGTTTTAATTTTGATTTGCAGCTACCAATGTATTGCCAATTTGTCATTTTGGATAAGTTCAAATTTTGATTTGCTGTTGGGATTATTAGTATATACCTGGGTCTAATATTGTTACCTTTTAAGAATTTGCTGATCCACCTATTGAAAGATAAGGCTTGGTGTGACGAACACGCTGAAAAGATGTATTGCTCTTGTTGTCGTTGACTATTGGTAGTAGTTAGTAAGCAATGCAGTAAAACATTATAAGATTGAGGAAAAACACGTGCTATGATAGAACATGGTACAGTAATCTTTTCTTGTCCATTATGTAATAAAACAGGAAAGTGTATATCGTCTTTGTCCGCTTCTGGCCCCTGACTGAAATTTTTTCAAAAATTCAAAAAAGTAAAACAGCAGAAAATCAACAGGTTAGTACAGATGTTAGGAAGGGTGTACATCGATAACTATAGAATGGAAGAAAAGCAAATTAAAAGAAATAAATCAATAGCAACGTCAAGTGAAAATAATGGAATGGAAATATTTTGTCTTGGCATTATTCTGTTAATATTTCTTACCTAGATCTACCATATTGCTTCGGTTCTCTTATCTTCTCGGGAACAAGAAGAATTGGAACTAGTGCTAAACGATCTGGAATAAGGACAAGGGCATGCCAATTTTATCAATGTTAACAGAAGTTTATTGGTACTCGTCGTACTCCACCGTTCAGGTTATAAAATGTTTTGTTTTCGATCGTCCGATTTATGAGAAAAATATTTTTGATTTTTGTGTAAATGATTATTTTGTTTTTTTGACCAGGAAAACAATTTATCTGGAAATGCACACAACCATATTTCTCTATCTAGCTTTTGTCGAATCTGTAAGCTCAAACAAAGGGCTAAAGATTTTAACATATTACTTCCTTCCACCCACTTACCATAGAGCCAACCGAGATGTCGTTTATTGGAATTCACTTTATCAGCAGATTTAGGTCGCTTTTCAGACAGATTTCTCTGACGAGGAAGTGAAGTCTTCGGTCGTCGTGGTGAGCATTTGGAACACTGGAGTAAAAGAAATATATAAACAATTCACACCTAATAAGAGTCAAAGTGAAGTTATTTTGAACATATATTGCACCTCAATTTTATATTTTATTGTGAGATCATATCTTCCGTACTTGTTCTAGAAGGCCAATATCATGTTATCACTTAATCTGACTGCTATAATAATATGCAACCAATTAGATTCATCGATATTGAAAACACGTGCAGGTGTCACTCAACCTAAATAATGAGTTGAGGTTATTAGTTATGATAATATCCAATGAATTAGATTCATTGATATTAAAACAGTGTGCGAAAGTAAATCTCAGAACTTACCAACCTGAATAATGATGTGAGGTTATAAGTCATAGTAATGTAGAATTTCGTTCTGCTTAATCAAAGGTCAAATAATATGATTGTATAACTTTGATAGATCATAATTAAAGAGACAGATTTACAATCCGTTTGACCAATCGTTCCTTAGTCTCAAAAAAGGAATGTTTCAGCTAAACTAATCAGTATTAGTGTCCACATTCCACAGCACAGAGTCGAAATTTGAGCCTTCAAATCCACGTGTGTTATTCGCGTTTGAAAATTAAAATGACGACTTAAAGACTTATAGAAAAGACATTAAAAGCTTACATTGAAATAAAACGTGAAATTCCTAGGTGATTTATATTTTAGGGACATTCAAGACCCATTCAAACCCCGAAAATGGCGAATCATGGCCTTTAAAATTTAATGAAAGCCTCCATCCTGGATATTGGTGAATATACTGTCATGTTACTTACTGTTGTCTGAAGATAGCTGCAGGCTTCCTTTCCAGTCTTCTCCAAATGGTTTAATTCTACTTCCGCTTGTAAAATGTCTAATCTTTTTTTCACTTCCGGTAAACTAACTAACATACATCCCTGAAACACCAACTTAAACTGTCGCAGGAATAATTTCTGTTCTTTTTCTGAACAAGGATGCATTAAGTTTAGATTTGATGGATTTAAAAACTTCTTCATAAGACAATTTAAAACTTCACAACAATTTGGCTCACTACATTTAGGAAAGAGAAGTTCCTTCACGTCTATCCATGAAGACATCTGTTGACCATCAACTTCTATAAATGGTAATTTATCTATGGCTAAAAAGTTGTAAGTGTCATCAACAACTGCCAAATTTTGACAGATTTGGTGATTTTGAAGCAAATTTGTTTCAATGGAGTCTGTCTGGTCTATTTGATTCCTCAGCTTCTCTTCGTCGGTGAAGTTATTGTCATTGTCCATTGACTCTCTTTCTGTGGTAATCTGTACCATTGTTCTAATGTCTTCATCAATTCGAAAAGGTCCTTTTCGGTGTTTTGGTTTACGTTCTTTTCTTTGTTCGACTTGTGCGTTGTACGACGGAAGTACAACGTGTTCGCGTGTTATAGAACATGAATGCTTCCACCCATCGTCTCCTACAACAAACACCAAGGGTAAGAGGCTTACATTTTGAAATTCACCTTCAATCTTCACTGTTGATATAACACTTCTTTTAAGAATCGTCACCATTTTCTGAAAAAGAGGTTTTAATTTCAAGATACCAATAATTAGGCCTGATAATTTATTTTCTAATAACTTAGACGACTATAATACGACGGAATTAAACATTGTATATATCGGATATAAAGAACCTTAAGGTACATAATCTCATCGTTTGAATGGATCTGAACCAAAACATCACAGATCATTTTTAAACGCTCACATGAAATGATGCACGTATATGTGCCGTCGGTTCACAATTGCTCATAAACACTCTACATTACCGTGGCCCATTGGGGACATTTGCAATTTTTTTATTTTTCGACGTTTCTCAGTGGTTTGAGAGCAGAAGAACTGCAGAAAACAGGAATTGAAATTGTGAAAATTCGAGAAACCGACAAAAAATAGAAGGAATGGAGGGAAATAGAGAAACTTTAATTAGAAAGATGACACANAATACATAAAAATCACAAAAATTCATAAAAACAATAATTAATCAAAATCGTAAAAATAGTGAAGACATGAAAAATTAATTTTTTCCAAAATATTATGAAAAACACAATTTCAACGGTGGTGGTAATACATTTCTATCGCGGTTGAAATTAATTTTTGCGATTTCACTTTGAATTTTTTGTTTTTTTCATAATATTTTGGAAAATTTAATTTTTCATGTTTTAACTATTTTTACGATTTTGATTAATTATTGTTTTTATGAATTTTTTTGATTTTTATGTATTTTGTGTCATCTTTCTAATTAAAGTTTCTCTATTTCCCTCCATTCCTTCTATTTTTTGTCGGTTTCTCGAATTTTCACAATTTCAATTCCTGTTTTCTGCAGTTCTTCTGCTCTCAAACCACTGAGAAACGTCGAAAAATAAAAAAATTGCAAATGTCCCCGATGGGCCACGGTACTACATGGCACAATTCTTGACTGATTTCGACAAAACTTGTTTGTTATCATCCAAGGATGAACTCTATTGAAAATCAGAAAAATTGAAAAATAATTAGAATGAGTTATTGCCCTTGTTCTTAAAAACGCTTCCAAGTCTGTAAACACTCCAGAAGGCCCAATTCCTGACAGATTTTGATGAAACTTGCTATTATTATTATGTATGACTGAAGGTTGAATATTTTGTTACTGTACTGCCAAATATTTTTATTTAAAATAAAAGCTGCCAGTGGGCGTATATTAACTTACCTGGCAAGCTATTATGACATAGGCCCCTTCAAAGCATTAAATGGAATTCGTGTCAAAATAATAAACGTAGGCCTATGCATTAACTCACCTATTGTATCTGATCAAATTTAGAGATGGCTTTACTTTAAAAGAGGATTTCACAAGTACCGGTATTAATATAATATGGATTTTAACATTCACAGATACCGGTAGGCCTGTGGTCAAACCGAATAAAACTAAAAGACACACTTTACTTTTTAAAAGGACAACCAGGTTATTATAATCGGTAAACCACTAAAAATTGATTTTAGATTAACCAATCGTAAGATTTCCCTGATTTGATCATTAACCTACCTTTAATAATTTGTTTCTTTGTAGACTGTAAGGTTTAACCTTATCTTCTGTAGTCCATTTTGATTGTTTAGTAATGACGTCAGGCTGTATTTTCATCACATAAATGTCGTCATTGATTTCGAACCTCCATACGAAACAACTTAGTTACCGGAAGCAAATCACGAACATACATGACCGCCATTTTAAAGGCGCAGATTAAACCAGACTGGACAACTTTTCTAAAATGGATGTACGGTAAAAAGAAATAAGCATCTTAATCATCCTTTTTTCGAAAGAAACTACTTAGCCTACTCTACATCTTAGATCACCCGAAATGTATTAATTCTTTTTTCTACATTCTTATCTCTCAATTTGTAGGTTAAGCCTATACTAAAATCAACATTTTGTCATTGTAAATTGACACTTGTATAGGAAAATAAGATTTTGCACTTAAAATCAATATTCTTTGATAAATAATGGGTTTCCATTTATCAATATAATAAAATCCAAGCCAAAAAATATCTTCAAATACAAGTCTAGCTCAACATAATCTTCAAATGACAATTATCAAACACAAAATTCAATTAACAAAAATGTCTAAATACAAAACAATGTTCAATAACAAATCCCGATGAAAAAAAAATCTTGTGAAACATTTCTTCAACATGTCAAATATTATTTGAAGGTCACTTCAAGGGCTCATAGTATGAATATGACGTTATACATACAATTCTGTTTGCTAGCCACTTTACATTAAAGTACAGAGTTCCCTAAGTAATTATTTAGTTGACACCTGCTGTCAATTATTCAAACTTGACATAACATTGTTAAACACTGATTACAATTTGATTTTCTATCGACCAAACACTTAGTTAGGTTTGGGGTCATTTACTTCAATGTTCTGCACAAAAACATTTAAACCGTTTACGTCTGACTCACAAATCTGTTCACTAATTGAATGATTCGTAGTTTCTATAAATTTTAGAGGAAAAACAAGTTCATTCTAATGCACCAAACCTTAGCTGTCGGGGGGACAATTTCGAAGCCATTTAAATGAAAGTAATATTGTGTTTTGTGATTTTGTCATTGTGAATCAAATACCGAAATACAGTGAAATTGTTATATCGTCATTTAAAGGATCGGTACCGATATAAAATCTCTGTACCGAAAGGACTGAGGACTCTTCGTTAGGATATGTTATGTTGCTGATATTCACTTGAAGTTGCAACGCAGTGGTCTTATCAACGCATGGTGGATAGAAATAACATCAAATTATAAATTAACTCGCGTAAAGATGAAGTAACCCGGGAGTAATTTTAACAATAAACAGAACTAGATGAACCATACCATGGCTTCTGATCTAACCACCAACAACAAAGTTTCAGAGGTTACTACTTGGTCATTCTTAGACATGGCTTCAGAGAGCGGTGCATATACTCAGTTAACAACAGAATTTCCAAACAACGCAACGCTTAGTACAATTTTTGAAATGAATTTTACAAACAATTCCAGTGCGAATAATTCTAATTGTGCAGAAGTGAGCGCTGATGATTTAAACCAAAAATTAGCCTTTATAATAGTCAACAGTATTATAAGTTTGGTAATAATAGTTGGTAATATAGCGACCATTGTAGCTGTGCTGAAAACACCAGTTTTAGGAAGAGTATCCAACAGATTTCTAGTGACACTGACTATGGCAGATATCCTCGTTGGGGTTCTTGCTTCACCTTTAGAAATTCTCACTGATGTACCATACTTTAGTAATTTACTCAATACGGACAAGTTCTTCTGCTTACTTCAGCATGTATGTCTAACTATTCCTGCCAGGGCTTCTTTAACTAGTTTAACTATTATACTGATAGATAGAAGTTTTTATATTGGATCAGACTCTGTATATAACTCCTGGACAACGAACCTTACGACAGGCTTAGTTATAATTGGTATCTGGTGTATAGCTATAGTGACGGGATCGGTTCCGTTTTTCTACAACCAATGGAAGCCTTGTGTTAAATGTGAACGCACTGCAGTGTTACACCTGGTGTATCATAATATTTTTGAATCTATTTACCTTTTATTATGTTGGTCAATAATGATTGCCTCTTTAATTTTCATCCATTCTTATTCCTATCATGAAAAATCCACAATGACTGATGAACAGAAGGTAAAACGACAATCAGATTTAATGTTTATAAACACTTTTGGTCTGGTGTTTCTATTTTCTGTTTTATGTTATCTACCAAGTTTAACAATTTTAATTCTAACTAATTTGGACATTGAAATACCATCTTACGTCAATGACGTGAATAGTATTTCAACCCAAATGAACTCTAGTATGAATTTTATAGTTTATTTCGCTCACAATCAGAAATTTAGGAGAGCGTTCATCCGAATATTATGTCCCAACAAATTCATAGAACTTGAAGCAAAATTCGAAGCCAATCTTCGACAAGCGTTTGACACAAACATCAAATCAAAAATTATGAACGTTAAATCGCAAATTAAATCGAACGTGCAGTCAAATATTATTGATAAAGTAAAAGTGAAAGATATGCAGGATGATGAGAAATCAATCTGCCCAGAGGTAATAAGCAGCAACTCAAGGAATTCTGATCAGAGGAGACCAGATCAACAGAGCAAACCAACACTTCTGAGTCTAGCAATTGCACTCGATATCGAATCAAAACGCAATGTTGCACAGAATAGTCAAAATGAAATTGCACTGGAGCAGGATAACATTTTTTCTGAATCCTCTGCTGAGCCGGACAGCCAATCAGTTTGGGACACTGCTGTCGAACATAATGATGAAAGTGTGCTTAGTGATCTTGCATCACCCGACATCATGCCTAAACAAACTTCCAGTCATAATACTGTGAGTTCTCCCGGAAAAATTTGGACAAGGTTTATCTCGTGGTTTTCTTCCAAGGGCGTGGAAAATGATACGGACCATACAACAGAGTCAGATGACAGTGCTTCATCTGAACATAGAAATACATCTGAAAACGATTCCTCGGTTTCAAACATTAATGATAAAATTACCGACAAAGAAAAATCAAACTATGAAAGGAAATTGTGGATGTTGAATTTGTAGGTTTTTGATCAATATTCATTAAAATCAATGTTATTTCAATAGAGCAATTTAGCTTAAAAGGGGTATTAAAAACTTATCATTGTCTGTAGTTTGCGGGCTTTAATGGAAATCTATTGTTCCGTAAAGGATTGAATCTATTATTGTAGAAATGGGTGAATAAAAAAAATCATTTCACTCGAGGAACTCAGTCTCTGAACATGGAAAGCAACTGTACCATACCACAAACAACTAGATCAGCCAATTCTGTCCAATTTTATATAACAGGAATACTAATGATTATATTCATCTGTTTTGGAAATATTTTGACTATTTTAGCGGTATGGAGAACTTCTATATTAAGAACTGTACCCAATATGTATGTTGTTTCTCTTGCTGTAGCAGATCTTATCGTTGGTGGTATAACACTTCCTGTTCAAATAATTTTGTCTCTGCCACCGTTTAGCTTATTATTAGATGAAGATAAATATTTTTGTCTTTTTCAAATGGTGATATATTTTGTGTCGGTGACAACTTCGGTATTTAGTATGGGTGTAATAGCTGTTGACAGAGCTTTATATATCGGCTACCCGCTACATTATAACAGATTTTCTACTGAGAAAACAGCTAAAGTTATAATAGCTGGTACATGGACAGCGTCTCTGATGATCAGCATTGCACCGTTTTATTATAACACATGGAGAGAATGTCAGGTGTGTTTCAGTTTTTTTGTCATACCAATGGAGTATCAACTATATGTTCAGGTTGGATCTATAATTCTAGTCATCATTTTGACATCTATTTGTTATGGTTATATTTTATATATCGCACGGAGTAAACAAGGTCGATCTGCTGGGTGGGAGGCAGATATGAAACTAGTGAAAATATTCCTGATGGTGTTCGGATTATTTATCGGGTGTTGGACTCCATTATTATCATTGGTCTTTGATGGTTATATTAATCAGGAGAAGAAAGAACTTTACCATTCGACATTTTTTGAAACGTCATTTTGCTTGTCAGTTTTAAATTCTGGTATGAATTTTCTGGTATATTCAGTGAAAAACATGGATTTTCGCAAAGCAATTCGCGATATCTTGTGTCGTAAGAAAAAATGTATTAATACTGTTGGCCCCAGTTTTCATCGGTATTGATCATGGAAAAAATTAAACGACTTTTAAAAAATGTGAATATGTATGCCAATGAATTATGTAATCTATCCCATCTGCACATTTGTTGTAATAATAACAGAGACTATAGATAGACATACTCTCAGATAATGATATTCATGTACAATGTTTATTTGAAGGTGATAGTGATATAATTCTATTTGAAGCTGTCTGAAAAACCAATTGTCGCTCCCAAATACTTATGAGCTGCTTACTTTTGCTAATGTCGTTGCGGCTATTTGTTATGACAACTATCTCGGGTCAGGTCGACTGGTTATTCGAGGCATATCATCGGACTAAAAGTCTCATATTAGGTTTTCGTACACTCCATCAACTTCGGCACTAAAATGCTTCATATTGAACGAAGATTGCCATATTGAAAATACTTCCTTTCAAATGAAGCAATGTCTATTTTTGGTCTCAGATCTTTAATAACAAAGTATGCCATTCAGTTTGTGAATCTATATTTATTTAATCGTCACTGTATAATTTAGATTTTACATATTATAAACAACCAATAATTATTAATGAAATATTTTTTTTGAGTGGAATATTTTTTTTAATTGAAAACTTTTTCGTCTTGCGCATTTTTTAACTACACAGTGATTTGACAGCGCCAAAATCACTTTCTAGCCAATCAAAATCAATCTTCAGACACAGTTATCTGTTCTTGCCTGACAATATACCATCCCTAAATTGCCTAGTCAATGTTCAACTCACAAACGAACTTTGGCGACGATTGAGCCGAATGGTTTTCTGCAAAAGCGTAGCGTGAACAACATGATCCTTAGATTACATGAAATAACGGAACACAATTTTATGGTATACAACTCATTTTTTCACCTGTGTTAACAATAGTAATGTTTGAAACGGTGTAAAAGAAACGTTATAAATATTATAATTGCCATCATGTGTGAACAGATTAAATATATTAAATGGGATGGATCATCTGTATGGACCATACAGAATCAATCATCATTAAATAATGATTACTGTTAAATCATTGAATAATCATTACTGATGATGTAGTCATCTTGGGGATTGAATTCTCAAAACAACTTGGAAACATTTCAGAACAGGTTGACTGTAACCAGCAAACTATTACCACTAAATACACATTTTCAGTCTAATTTCATTTTGTGACATCTAATTCTCGTCAATATCCGCCATGTTTATTTTAGTCTTGCATTGTAGATAACAATTCCAAAATGGAAGAATTTGGCAATGACATGTACGATTTTATTAATTTGTACAAGTCTGAAGTAAATATATGAGAGAAGTATAAGATGCGAAAATCATTATTTAAACAAAATGTGTTTGTGATTATCTGTTTAAATTTGGAATCAAATATGTAGAATTGTCATCTGCAATCTACTGATTTTACGAAAGATCGCCTATACCCGAAATAAAAATCTAAATGATATCTTAGTCCGTGGTAGATTACCCCTCCTTCCTTAAATTTAAAACATTTCCTTATTAGCCATTCATGATATCAATCGATTAATTTTTCCTCGTCATTATTTTCACAAAAGATCTTTTATCCATTATCGTCAGGTTTGTAAACGTGCACTAAATATACATTTTTAGCAGAAAAAAATATTTATTACAATTTCCATAGATATTAATGTTTCTGTTGGAACCATTATTCTTATTATATTTTCAGATTCTGAAGAATATGGATTCTATTTCATATATTGAAATTATATTATATCATTTAAACTAACTGCACAAACAATACTCTCTCACTAGAGGTTAAGCCTGCATGCCAGTGCCTGTTCTTTTATAACATTACTTAACCGCAATGTTACAACCCATTCCTAACTCAAGACCCATCTAACATTTTATCTATCCAAACGAATGTGACAAACCCACACTCCATGGCTCTAATCGAGATGTGTTTGAATGCTTAATGATGTATATTTCTTTAAAGTTTGGTACAGGTCGACTATGCTGGCTGGTTGGATCTGAGATTACGTTGGTTTTTTTCTTCTTTTAGTAACTGAATCCGGCTTAAGTCGACCTTGGCTCACTGACGTCTGACACGTCTGATTGTCACAGGTTTTAAAGAAATACCAAAACATGCCGCCGACCTGCTATCATCTTGTTGATTGGAGATATTTCTGGTTGATCAATTTCATGATAATAGAATTTTGCCCCTGTTGACAGTGTCGAAGCCAGACAGATGCTTTGAATCCCATTTAGACCACGTTCCGTTACCTGCAATATAGTGTTCTAATATATGTTTGGGATGCGATTAGATGCGATGAAGAACGATGTAATGTTTCTAAAATATTTATTCGATGACCATGAACGATGACAACATGGCGATGACAAATGATGATGTGACAGTGTCGAGCAGGCGGAAGTCCAGTTTTGTTGTCTTGAACAACCTAGTAATGTTTCGTGTTCAGTCGAGTCATTCGTATCATCGTTCACGAACATTACAGGTAGTCCGAAACACCGATCCCGAACATATCCCCCTCCTTGATGCTACATCAAAAATTCAAAATATAAATAATACAAATTTACGATGTATAAATATAATATAATACAATTATCACAAATAGTCTTTACTATGCCATAGTCCTATTGTTCTTGACGATAAAACAGAACGAATGAACATTTTTAAGAACACATATTTTTCCTATTTTCCATATCACAGAACGAACATTTTCTTTTTCTTTTTACTAATATATCACTTTAAATATATAACTATTTATCCACAAACGCACACTGTGGAATTTTATATATAACTACATGTATTCCATGAATCGCACACCATGGATTTCATGATTTATCACACACATATATAAGCACATCACTATGCTTCCAATGGACATAAATGACTTATGGACCTTTTATAGAGCTTATCACCAATTATGATTTCCACAACTCTTACGTGATTATCATCACCGCGAAACACTTTCACAATTCTTCCCAGGGGCCATTTACCCCGAGGGGAGTTTGGATTTACAACTATAGCGACGTCTTCTTCCTGAAAATCCTGTTGTTCGCGATGCCATTTACTTCGCGCATTCAATGTGGGTACTATTTCCTTCACCCACCGTTGCCAAAATTGTTTGACAAGTTCCTGCACTCGTCGCCAACGTTTCCGTCCACACACTCAGGGGCCAGTTGTCCACTCAATTGTCCGAATAGGAAATGGTTTGGAGTCAGAACAGGGCTATCATTGGGGTCGTTTCCCTCATAACAAAGCGGACGGGAGTTAATTAAGCCTTCAGCTTTTACGAACGCAGTCAACAATTCTTCGTCCGTTACGTCTGCGTCACCTATTACTGCTTTGATTGCCCGTTTAGACGATTTTACCATGGCCTCGAAGATTCCACCGAAATGAGGGGCGGATTGAATTTCCATTCAATGTTGCTATTTGCCAAAGAGTCACCTATCCTAGTCTGATCCAAAGCACGAATCAGGTCACCCAATTCACTTTCAGCGCCAATAAAGTTAGATCCGTTGTCGGAAACGACGCTAATGAGTTTCCCACGTCGATTTGTGAATCGCGAGAATGCACATAAGATGATAAACAGGTTATAACACACAAATAACGCTTAGTTCGAGTTTTACCCCTACCTTGCTTAGTGTGAAAATGTCCAGCATAATCGATGCCAATTCTTGCGAAAGCAAGAAAGTGGGGTCCCAAGGCGATACGCCGGTAAAGGTATGGGCCATGACTTGCACTGCTGGTTTCCTGCGACGTCTGATACATTCAGCACAGGATGACATAATTGACTTTATCAGATTACGAGCGCCAATTATCCAGTATTTGGACCTCAATAACGACAAGGTTTGCGAAACTCCCACTTCGTGATTACCATCTTCGTAAAAGAACGTTGTGATGTGACGCGAAATACAATGAGTTCCTAATAATATTATAGGAAATTTTGCATCGAATGATAAATGTTCAGCTTTTCCAAGACGGCCATCGACACGTAATACACCATCCTTATCGATAGTCGGATTTAGAGTCAATAATTTCGAACTGTTACGAATGGGGTTGCCTTTTCGAAGACACAGAATTTCCTCTCTGAAAGAGTCCCACTGAGAGGTTTTATACCAGAATATTTAAGATTGTTCAAGTTCTGCGACGTTTAAATGATTGTCTGTGATGCGCGACTTTGGATGTCGAACATTATGAATAAATCTTAGAATCCACGAAGTTACTCGTACTAATTTAGACCATTTCGAGTAGCGTTGGATCGAGCCTACCAAAATCGATCACCTGATTGGTTGTTAGAAAAGACTCGTCGACCGAGAATTAACTAGTTCCATCTAACATTTCCTCTGTTCTGAGGAAATTGAGGTTCAAGTTTCAGAACTTCATAATTCTGTTAAAAATAAAGATTATCATTTGAGACTTTTTATGGTATTAATATGATTCAATACTGATTCCCATACCAAATTTCAAGTGCAGAATGTCACTGGAATATGAACAATTCATGAAGAGATTTTGCAGATACACCTTTGTGACTTTCAAATATGAATAATTTCAAAGCCATATTGGTGTATCTGCATGTTTAGATGGATATAAAGGCTAAGGCTATTTCTGCAGGCTCTGGGATCACACGATCTGGCCATGACGATGGATCTAACGATAAAAAATCCGGACCGTCCCACCAAAGGTCACTGTTAGCTAATTCGATGGCAGATACACCACGAGTCGCCAAGTCTGCACTGTTGGACTTGGTCGGAACATAACGCCATTGTATGAGCTCCGAGGATTCATGAATCTCACCTATTCGATGTGATACGAATGGTTTGTAAGTGCGCGATTCTCCTTTTATCCAGTAAAGTACATTTTGACTATCGCACCAGAAAGTTGTCAAGGTCTTTGGAATTTTAAGTACTTCGCAAACTGAGATTGCCAAGCGCACTCTGAGCACTGCACCACAAAGTTCTAATTTTGGTATCGAAATTGTCTTTAATGGCGCTACGCGAGTTTTAGCTCAGAAAACCAGCAAGTCCAC